AAAAAAAAAAACAAACAAAAAAAACCCAAACCAAAACCAACCTCATTTCCATGAACCAAGCACTGAAAATATTCAGTAAAATGGGAAAAAAAAAAAGCAGCTTGCTAGTAAACTTAAGCTCTCAGCATTTCATGCACAAGCTGATATCTCGAGCGCAGAGAAGCTTTGGACATGGCCGGACCCACCACGGCAGCCCACCGTGCTGCTTCTCCCGCCCCCCAGCCCCGGCTCGCTCAGGTTGAAAGTAGCCCAAGCTACAAAAAAAAAAAAAAAAAAAAAAAGGAAAAAAAGTATATACAAACCCGGGAAAGTGGGGTGGGGGCAACCCTATATACACAGGCACTTATGTACAGCCACGCTACTCTTTTTTCTTGGCCACCGTCAGCTCCACCCCGGGCATACGGAAACCCCCCTTCGTCCCGCTGTCGTTGCTGGAAGAAGAGGAAAGACGTGATTTTTTGGACGCTAATGAGACCCCGCTGCCCTGCGCTTTCCCCGTCTCCTCGTCGCTTCCCGTCACTTCGTAAGAACCTTTAGTTTTTGAACCGATCCCCCCGAACGTCCCAAATTTCATTTTGCCTTGTTTTCCCTTCTCCAGCTCCAGCGTTCCCGTGGGCGTCGAGTGGGACGAGCGCTCGTCGCTGAAGGACGACGACCGATGGCGCGTCTTCTTGCTTTTAAAGAGGGAGAACTTCCCTTTCGCCGACGACAGGCCCTCTCCGCCATCGAGCTCGCCTTCTGCGGACCCCAAACTGACCTTGGAGCTCTTCAGGTCACCTTTCGATCCTGAAACAGATCCAGAAACCTCCGGGGAACCTCCACTCCTTCCCTTCTGCTTGGAAAAATTAAACTTGGGCATTTTGATTTTGGATTTCTTTAGTCTGACATCCGCGTCCTCCGACTCGAGTTCTGCGACGTCGGCCTGGAGGTTAGCATCCGCCCCGGGGAACTCTACGTCGACCCCCCTCTCTCTGCCCTTCACCTCGTGGTCTGAAAACACAAATTTAGGCATTCGCAGTTTGGGGAACGATACTTTTCCCAAGCTGCTTTCTGGGCTGCTTGTGGTGATGCTGGGACCTCCAATTCCCACCTTCGGGCCGGTAACGTGAAGAGTTCCCCCGCCAGCGCTCAGAGCTGGTGCCACCGCTTCTCCATAGATAGCGGCACCACCTTTGATCTTCGGCCCTTTTACATTGACGTTAAAACCCGACCCAGAAACTTTCAGTGCGGACGCATCCACGGTGGGAGCCTCGAGGTGGACACCTGCTCCGGGTTCCTTAATGTCGACACGAGGTGCTTCCACGTTGACTTTTGGACCTTTGATGTCACCGGCGACATCTACGTCACCCCGTAGGTTTGGTCCTTTCAGCTTCAGGTCGACGTCCGACAAGGAAACGCCAGGTGACTGCATTTGAAACTTAGGCCCTTTCAATTCCACATTGGGTCCTTCCATCCCAACACCAACCCCTGAGCCCTTCAGGCCTCCTTTCACTTGAGGACCTTCAAGACCAATGCCTACATCTGCTCCATCCACACCAGGACTGGAAACACCAAACTGGGGGAGCTTGAGGGACGGGAGCTTGATCGTGCCACCCAGAATTTCAAAGCCGCCATCGGATGCGTCCACTGATGCTTTGGGGGATTTAATGCCAGCAGAAACATCAAGATCTCCTTTCAACTTTGGTCCTTTCAGGTTTACATCCATATCTGGGGCAGAAACATCCACCGAGGGCCCTTTGATATTGACGCCTGGGATGCCGAGATTGAGGTTTGCACCTGGGGCTTTCACATCTGCCTCCATTTGTGGGACGGAGCAGTCGACACCTCCTTTCACGCTCAGATCAGGTGCCTCTATAGCGGGGGATTTAAACTTTGGCAGCTTCAGCTTTCCTCCCAAGCCTCCAATGTCAATGCCTGGTGCGTCCACGCTGACGCTCGGCCCTTCCACAGAACTCGAAACGTCCAGATCTCCCTTTATTTTTGGTCCTTTCAGGTTTCCATCAAAATCAGGTCCAGAGATTTGGGGCCCTTTGAGCTTTACATCAACACCTCGGAGGTTGACCTCAGCCGAAGGGAGGCTCACGCTTCCTTCCACGGCCGGGACCGAGACATCCAAGTTCGCATCCGGCATTTCCAAACCAAGACCCATTTTCCCCACCTTGGGCAATTTCAGACCTTCCAGTTCTACTCCAGGAACACCAACTTCACCTTTTACTTTTGGTCCTTTCACATTTAAGTCGACATCTGGTACCGAGATCGAGGGAACAGCAACATCAATGGTGGGTCCTTTCAGGTCGCCCTCAATTTTCACGTCCCCTACGCCCACCTGCCCACTGGGAAGTTTGAACTTTGGTTTCTTCAGGCTCACGTCAGAACCTTCAATGTCCACGTTGAGACTCGGGCCCTTTACATCAGCTTTGGCAGTCGGCAGAGAGACGTCTAGATCAGGCGCTTTAAGTTCCCCCTCTATTTTTGGGACTGCCACGGAAGCATCCCCTCTGAATCTGTGCGATTTAAGATCAAATTCAACATCTGGGAAGGAGATTTTCCCAAACATGGGTTTCTTTCCTTTGGGGGACTTCACTGCAGCATCGCCTTTTATCGTCACATCCGGACCAGCTACATTCACATCCAGGTCAGGAGATTTCAAATTCGCATCGAGCTCTCCACCAGCCACATTCACGTCGAACCCTCCTTTCTTTCCTTTAACTTTAGGACCACTCATATGAAGTTTTGGCATCTTGAACTTGCTCTTCTTACCCTTGCCAGCGACGCTGACATCAGGCGACTCCACGTTCAGCTCCGCCTCGGGTAAATCCGCTTCCACCCCGGGGACCTTGATTTCTGCCTTCGGGCTTTTCATCCCAAACCCAAACTTTGACTTCTTAAACTTGGGAAATTTGACATTTGCCTCTGGGGCTTCAAAGTTCAGGTCGGGACATTCAACATCAACTTCAGGGCTTCTGACTCCAAATTCTGGGCCTTTGATATCAACTTCAGGACCTTTCAGGTTGCCTTCTATCTTTGGGGTTGAAATGTCAAAGCCTCCCTTCGTTTTGTGGCCTTTCAGATTCAAGTCTATCTCAGGCATTGAGATTTTAGGAACATTCACGTGCATTTCTGGCATCTTCAGTTTAGGACCTTTCAGTTTGCCCTCTGGACCTTCGACGCTCACATCTGGGACACTGATGTCTACCTTGGGGCCCGAAAGATCGACTTCTGTCTTTGGCAGGTTCACATCCATGTCAGGGCCTTCTCCTTTTAAGCCAAACTTGGGCAGCTTCATTTTAGGCAGCTTCATTTTTCCCTCCAGACCATCGACGTCAACCTCTGGGCCCTCAATATCTATTTTGGGGCCCTTAATATCAACTTCAGGACCCTTCAGACCTCCCTCGAGCTTTGGGCCCTGAAGATCCGCATCTCCTTTCAGCTTCAGTCCCTTTAGGTTCAAGTCTATGTCTGGCATGGAGATCTGGGGAGTCTTGATGTGCATTTCTGGCATCTTGAATTTTGGGCCTTTCAGTTTTCCATCTGGCCCTTCGATGTTCACATCCGGTGCCTGAATGTCCAACTTGGGGCCTTTGATGTCAACATCCGGACACTGCAAATCCCCTTCCAACTTTGGTCCTGAGACGTCGACATCACCCTTCAGCTTGGGGCCCTTCAGATTGAAGTCAACATCGGGCATGGAGAATTTGGGCGCCTTGATGTGCATTTCTGGCATCTTGAATTTTGGGCCTTTCAGTTTCCCTTCTGGCCCTTCGATGGTCACATCGGGAGCCTCGATGTCTATTTTGGGGGCTTTCACATCAATTTGGGGTGCTTTCAAATCACCTTCAAGCCTGGGTCCGGAAACATCTACATCTCCTTTCAGTTGAGGCCCCTTGATGTTGAAGTCGACATCAGGGATGGAGACCTTGGGAGCCTTCACGTGCATTTCAGGCATCGTAAGTTTGGGACCTTTGATTTTTCCATCCACATTCAGATCAGGAGCCTCTACGTCTATGCTGGGGCCCGAAATGTCAATGTCTCCCTTGGGGAGGTTCACATCCACATCCACACCCTCCCCTTTAAAGCCAGGCATGGAAAACTTGGGCATTTTGAATTTAGGAAGCTTAAATTTACCCTCTGGGCTGTCAATATCAACATCAGGGGCACCTACGTCTAATTTAGGAGCACTGATATTGACCTCCGGCCCTTTCAGTTCACATTCAATTCCTGACATGGACACGTCGACATCTCCTTTAACTTTGGGACCTTTCAGGTTCAGATCAAAGTCTGGCGTGGAAATTTTGGGAGCCTTGATGTGCATCTCGGGCATCTTGAACTTGGGGCCCTTCAGCTTCCCTTCAGGGCCTTTGATGTCAAGGTCGGGAGCATCAATCTCAACCTTAGGGCCTTCCAGATCAGGTGCAGAAAGCTCCACGTCTCCTTTCACCTTGGGACCTTTCAGGTTTAAGTTGATGTCAGGCATGGAGATCTTGGGCGCCTTGA